ATAGGCCCACACGTTCGATCTAGGATAGTGCTAACTCTGATAACTTGTAGTGAACAATCCCATTATGTAATAAAAACAATCTTTGGTACTTAAGTAGTTAAGGTTTGGAATCCTTATAGCCTTTCTTTTGAATCAAATCGCAACTGTTATATTTGAGTTAGTGGCTTCTCTCCTGCTTGTTGCGTGAAGGCTTAAAACCCTTTTCGCTAGGTCAAAAAGTCTCCCAAAATATAAAAAGAATAAAATATTCTTTTTTATAAATTTTTAATTTTTGCGGCTCAAATTTTAAACTTCTAATTATATTATTGATTGTCTGTATGCTCTCTCCTAAACCACCATGGTTAGGAAAGTCGGACCAGTCTAGTAGACTAGTTGTCATCTAGGAAAGTGGGTAGGTGAAGTCTTTCCATTTTCCTAAACCCCACACAATTTACGAAACTTTTCTAATCACTATGTTAAGTCATTTTCCCTTGAGTTTTAAATCTCCAACCCAACTCCCAACCATATCACAACCCAAAGGACAAAAGCTCAACAAAACCCCACAAAGCCTAATTTTTCAAGTTTCATCCGCCATCTCCCCTACCTCCTCTTTTTTCCTACCCACTTTTTCATTCCATAGGTAATTTCTTCACTATTTCCCCTTCCCTAATTAATTACTACTATGTTTCTTTCATCAAAAGTGGTACTTTAAAAGTAAACTCTTTTTTCCTCTTATAAAGTCAAGAACTCTAACAACATAAATAAATACTTATTTTAAACATTTTGTTCATCCCCGTATAATATTAGTAATCAACCTTGTATTATGTTATTGGTAATCTTTATTATGCTACATATTTTTTATTATCTTGCTGTTGTTATGACTTATTTTTGTATTATCTTGTCGTGCTGGTAGGTCTATGGTAAATAATTTCTCTACCGTCAATTTATCTTCTCCGGACCCCACTTATGATATGTCGGTGTCGTTTGTTGTTGTTATATTTGTTTGTTGTTTAAACATTTTGTTCAATTTGGAAAATAGGTAGTGATCAACCAAACACCCTTAAATTAAATTCCCAAATGGACTTCTAAGCTCTTATATAAAGTTCTTTACACTAACTATTTTGCTTTATCTTAAAATTTTAAGCAGAAAACAAGAATCATGAAAATCGTGGTGAAAGAATTAACAATGGTGAAACCAGCAACGGACACACCACAGACAAACCTGTGGAATTCAAACGTGGATTTGGTAGTGCCAAATTTCCACACCCCAAGTGTTTACTTTTACAGGCCATTGTCAGGTGCTTCAAATTTCTTTGATTCAAATGTGCTTAAGGAGGCGTTGAGTAAAGCGTTAGTGCCGTTTTATCCAATGGCTGGTAGATTAAAAAAGGATGAAGATGGACGTATTGAAATTGAATGCAGAGGACAAGGGGTTTTGTTTGTTGAAGCAGAGAGTGATGGAACGGTTGATGATTTTGGTGATTTTGCGCCTACTTTGGAACTCCGGCGTCTTATTCCTGCCGTTGATTATACTCAGGGAATCCATTCTTATGCTCTCCTAGTTTTGCAGGTTACCTATACATTTTATTGACAGAAAGAAAGTACATTAATTTTTGCGTACAGCTTTTTTAAAAACGACGGTTAAAATTTACTTGCATCCGTGTTTATACCAACTAATTAAGCATGATTTTTAATTCTTTAAGAATAATCTTTTTGAAAATATTTAGTAGCTCAATCGGTTGGCTACGTGAACTTGCATTTGCCCTTTTAATCCCCTCTTTCATTTTCCCTTTTAATTCCTACCCCCTATATATAATAAAAAAATTTAAAAAAGAAAAAGTTCTTTAGTTTTTCCGCTAATATCACCTACAACATCATGTAATAACTCATAATTATATTTGTTTAGTAACATATAAAATGAACTTAAAATAATCTATTCTAATTGATTAAGATAGACTAATAGTGTAAATTAGAAAACTACATAGTAGCAGATACTATAAATTGTACTTTTTATAAATTTTTTTAAAAATATGCGATAAGATTAATTGCAGCTAAACAAAATTGTTTGACTTACCTGTAAGGACATATGAAGAATGAAAATTAAGCTCTGCCTGTCAAATGATCGAAAGATCAGACTTGTATACTAAATTACTAAGGACTTGATTGGTAGGAGAAATAAAGTATTATTTATTTCAAGATTAAATTTGAGATGAATTTATCCCCACATTTAGTTAGGATAATTGTGATATAACTTATTACGGAATTGTAGTGTTGTTTTTATCTTTATGGAGAGTATGATAACAATTTCAATATACCTAATTAATTCTTGGATAACTCGTAGAATCAAACCACGCGTATAATGTGAAGATGTGTCGAATATCATGTTTACCTTTGTGTCAATCACTTGTACTAAAATTGTCGTAGAATATACGAGTTGCACCTTTTTCTAGAAGAGTTAAAAAGAATAGCTTTAATTCATTTAATAGTTTAAGATCAAAATAAATACTCTTTCCGCTCTCTAAACACTAGCCATTTTAATAAAGTAAATTTATTTCGAAATGTTTGACCTTTTAGAAAACAAGAAGTCATCTATACTTTTTATTTATTTTCCAAATCTACGTTACTTTTTCATTTAGTGGGTGTTCATTTAGTAAAAAACTTAAGTAGAAATAAGTGACACTTTAGATAAATACTCTTGTGATGTTATTAAATATCTTTCTTAATATGGATCAGATGAAATAAATGTGATGTAGTTATATCTTTAGTTCTTTATAAATGAGTAACCTCATTTAAACAAATCCAAAAGTCAAGCGGAATTTACGGGTCAATTGATTTTTTGGCCTTTTACAAACTTGTTTTTAGTTTTATGACTCTACCTCTTTTTTTACACATGAGAGATTTGCTTTTACACATAAGAGATCTTTCATTTACACATAAAAGATCTAAAAAAGACATTTTCTTAAATTCAATATTGTAAAAGGCCAAGAAGGCCTAAAACCTCCGGAATTTACTCAATAAATTCTAAAATCATCTAAAGCTTAAAATTGATAAGATGAATTGAGATTGATGACGAATTAATGAGTTTAGTGTTTTGGTAAACCAATAACTAAATTATGAGATTTCAACTCTTTGTTGAACATCATTAAACATATCTACAAGACTGAAGATAGGCAGCATTTACCATGGAAGAGAAGTGGTTGACTTATTGCTTAAATTTTAGATCACAATTATGAATAACTTCATACATTTAAGGAAATGAAATTTTTGTTATACTATATTATTCCAGCGCTTCTTAATATCTTTGAAGATTACTGGTATAAAATTTCTCGTAATTGTCAGTATTAATAGCCCGCTCCAGTCCTGATAAAAATATACGCCTAAGAACCAAATACCATGGTGGATAATCTATCAACTGATCAAATTACTATACCTCATTCCCAATTAGGTGAAGTTAGTAACAATAATAAAAAAATCTATTATAATCCACAAGTATTGTCTGGGAAGGACAATTATACGAATACTCTATATCCATTCGATCTATTCAGGTGGTTCCTGGAAGGTCTAATTCTTATAGTTTCCCCCTCAATCTTTTGACTTGAATGCTTTTTCTAGCTCATAACTGATATTGCACGATTTCGATGTGCTCTGCTAGTGCTCACCATAATTCTCATTTCAACTGTTGAGCAGATCACTCATTTCAAATGCGGGGGAGTTTCCCTCGGTGTGGGCATGCAACATCATGCTGCAGATGGTTTTTCTGGTCTTCACTTCATCAACGCATGGTCGGACATGGCTCGTGGTATAGACCTCACTATTCCAACTTTCATTGACCGAACGCTCCTCCGTGCTCGTGATCCACCCTTGCCTCAGTTCCCACACATTGAATACCAGCCCCCTCCAACTCTCAATAACATTGCCAAAACTGAAGCAGTTCCTGAGACTGATGTTTCCATCTTCAAGTTAACCCGTGACCAAATCAATGCCTTGAAAGCCAAGTCTAAGGAAGATGGAAATACCGTAAATTACAGCTCCTATGAAATGTTAGCAGGACATGTATGGCGCTCTACTTGTATGGCACGAGGACTTGAAGAAGATCAAGGAAGCAAGTTGTATATAGCAACCGATGGGCGTTTTAGGCTTAGGCCTACTCTTCCCCCAGGCTACTTTGGTAATGTGATATTTACTGCCACTCCAATTGCAGTGGCTGGTGATCTAAAGTCCAAGCCCATATGGTATGCTGCAAGTAAAATTCATGATGCATTGGCTCGGATGGACAATGACTACTTAAGATCAGCACTCGATTACTTGGAATTACAGCCCGACCTAAAGGCTCTTGTTCGTGGTGCACATACTTTTAGGTGCCCAAATCTTGGGATCACTAGTTGGGTTAGGCTGCCTATACACGACGCAGATTTTGGCTGGGGTAGACCGATATTTATGGGACCTGGTGGTATTGCTTATGAAGGGTTAAGCTTTATATTGCCAAGTCCTACCAATGATGGGAGTCTATCCGTTGTTATCTCGCTGCAAGCAGACCACATGAAACTTTTCGAGAAATATTTGTATGACATTTGAAAGAAATGAATCTCTTGAGAATGTTTGTGCTTGCTTCTATTGGGGTTTATAATGCCAGAAATGTAAAAGAGACCTTCCCTTTCCATTGGAGGTTAATTTTCTAATATCTCTTTTTCTCCCTTTTCCTCAAAGGAGCATGAGTCATGTACTTATGTTTATAAAGAACATTAGTTCTATTTCTGCTTATTTGTGGCCTAGATTTAATTCTCAAAGCTCAACTGCTAGTGCTTTTATCTCAGTAACCTGTACCAAATATATTTAAAACTAGAGTATGGGATGGATTTACTGAAACTAACTACAACTACAACAAACCCAGTCGGTGGAGTCCTACATGTAGGGTATGGGAAGGGTAATGTGTATGCAGACTTTACCTCTACTCTAGGGAGGTAGAAAGGTTGTTTCTGATAGACCCTCGACTCAAGAAAGATGAAATGAAACAATAAATGTAAGCAAAAATTAACAAATAATGCATCAATAATCTTAGAAAACTTGTTAAGTAAGATTGTTCACTTATAGAAATTCAAATTTACAGACATAAAGCCATGCGATCACTAAGGAAAAAAAGTTAAGATAACTCACAAAAGGAAGGAAAGACTTGAGATGCTGTGAAATTTTCATTGAATGAAAAAGAGCAAAACAAGGAGAAGAGACGATCTGAAAATGGCAGCAGTAGTTGATGTGAAGATGGAGGGCTGCTTCAGGGTTAGAGCTGAACTTTTATAAGGACGTTGATGGTGAAAATTGTTTGAACCTCCATTTGGTCCCCTTCCTTTCTGCCCCTTCCCTACATCAGCTGTAGAAAGCTTAGTTTTTAACTCAAAACTCATTGTATAACATGTATTAAAGGGCAGCCCGGTGCACTAAGCTCCCGCTATGCGCGGGGTACGGGAAGTGCCGGACCACTAGGGTCTATTGTACGCAGCTTTACCCTATATTTCTACAAGAGACTGTTTCTACGGCTCGAACCCCTGACCTCCTGGTCATATGTCAACAACTTTACCAGTTACGCCAAGGCTCCCCTTCTATTGTATAACATGTATTATGTACACAAATTGAATTTACCTCCTCTGTCTCCGCCTTCACTCTCGCTGTTTCTTTCGTGAACTTCAGATACATGTTTTACGACGTGTATGCTTCTGTTTCTTGATGCATTTGAAATTTCAGATGCCAAGCTTGTTAAGGCTACAGCACTTAACAGGATCAGGAAACCAATTGTTATTTTCATTTGGATGGAGCTAAATGCCTTTCTATGGTTTGTCTGGTCTTTTCCTTTCTAAGTGGACAGTTGCATAAAGAGAAGAAAGATATAGAAAATGTTGAGATGTGGTGAGGAAGTATTTATGAACAAACTTGTCAAATTATAGATCAAAGGTGTGGCTACTCTTGATCTGCAGCAACGGCTGTTATATAAAATCTTCTACTTCCAGCCCCTGATCCTTTCTTCCTTGTACTAGGATAATGATTCCTAATTTTCCTCACCTTCTGTAGCCTGATTCTTAGGGGTCGTTTGGTTTGAATACAAGTTATGTTGGAATTAGTTATGCTGAGATTAGTTATATTGAGATTATTTATCTTGGTATTAAATCTTATTGACCGTTTGTTATGTTGTGTTAATCCAGGGATCAGATAATTTATCCTGGGATTATTATTCCACGATCTGACAAGAATAAGTTATCTAGGATTAGTAACCAACAAGTAATAAGACAATTCTATATTTTTATCACAGAATTATATTTGTTTATTCATCGTACTAGAACCCAGCGTAAACTTTATCTTTGTGCAAAAAAGCATAGGCCCACCAACTGGTAAACTTTAGTCACAACATTTGGAATCCTACTTTAAATGTTGTAGTAGGTGTTTTGGGTCCTATATTTTAAGGTTGTTCACTCGAGAATCCATTATCCTTTTGGTTATTTTACTAGTTTCTAGCAAAAATGATGGAATATTTTCTGCTTTCCAGCTTCAGATATCTGAAATGATTAACATTGACAAATATTTCTGATTGTTGGAGAAGGGAGACAGACATATCTATTTTAATATTTAGAGTTAGAATAAAAGGAAAAATTCCATGATTTTAATAAGAAATTGTTCATTAATTAAAGCGAATATGATGCTTTCATTATCTCCTCAGCAAAAGTCTTAGATGTGGCAACCGTCCTTTGATGCCCTCGTATTCTTTTAAGCAACAGTCTTGGAAGTGTTTAACCAATGTTTTTTCATAGGCACACAGGTAGGGCATCGTCTTCTGATTTCATAGGTAGCTTTAATCAGTGGCGGAGCCACATGCACCCAAGGAGTGTCAGCCGACACTACTTCGTTGCATTGTTTAACTCGGCAATTTAAAAAAAAAAAATATATATACTATATAATGATATCTTTTGACTTCTTGGTGAGTTTGTTTTTTTTATATTTTGACTATACTTAATAAAAATTCTGACTATGGCACTGACTTTAATTAATGAGTTTAACTTCTATAGGGTCTTTTAACTTCAGTTACAACAGATAACTATCTAAAACAAGTCTAATATTGTAACTTTCAAGTGGGTTGGCACTTTCACATAGCCTAATGTTGTACATCCTAAAAAGAGTAGGAGCGATAGTTTCCTTTTGAGAGAAACAAAAAAGAGCCAATTTTTCTCTGGAGTTTTGCTTGTAATACCAGCTTTAAAAACTGAGGACCAGACAAATTTCTCCTTTCTTCTTATAGTGTCAGGATCTAGCCAATCAGCTACCTATGATGCCAGATTCGCTACTATATAATATTAAACTTTGGCCATAAATTTTGGCTTCATTTTTTAAATTTTTTTTTGAAAATATTGTTTGTTTATAAGATATGAAAAAAAAATTCAAAAATTTTCAATTTGGTGAAATTTTTCTTCCACTCACAAAACTTCAACTTTTTTAAAAATAAAATGCATGTCCAAATACAACTTCAACTTTCAAAAATTATTTTTCAATATAACTACAAAAACTCTTTTTTCAAATTTTAATCAAATCTATGTCCAAGCACTAAAAAGGTAAGTTTGCCACTGGAAAATGGCGTTTAAGTACAGTGCTAACTGCTCTGCACTTATTACCTACCGAAAATGAAGATGGTTGTTAACTTATAATAATATATCTTATTAGTAGCAGTTTTGAACATCTATTTTTCACTCTAATACTATCAGTCTGCTTGGGAGAGTCATGAATCTGGACCCTGGAGCTCTGATCAGTTTATCTTTTGCTCCCGCCAACAAATTGGGATTTTCCGACATTTAATTAGTAAATAATATATACTAATATAATTGGGAAAACAATAACTCGAGATGAAAAATGTCAAAAAGTGAATTTAATGTAATGTAATATTATTAGTTGGCGTTTAGCAACATTTACAGTTAATAGTGGAAAATCGTGGGAAAATGATAGAGATAGACAAAATATGCATCACATAATCGTAAAATGTATGTTACAACAGACATCTTTTCACTTGCAAACATACAAAATAGTAAAATAAACAACGAAATCATTAATGATCAGAAAGTCACAACTGCAGCAAGGATAACTCACAAAGAAAGGAAATATTTGAACTGATTGGAACTTTTCATAGAATGACAAACATTAGTGGGGATTATATAGGATCTTCTTCAAACTGTTACTCATAGTGGTTTTGACTAAATTTCTGTTGCCGGTCATTGGTAACGGAGGCCTAAAACCAAGCCGTAATAAGAGGCCTTAAACTTATTTAATAATTTTAGGTTTTATTTGTTGAAATTTATTCTTTTTACTTTTTAAGATAACAATTTCATTTTGACGATGTAACCAACCCCTTTAATCTTTGTTGAAACATTACTAACCTTTGATAAGATTTTATTAAGTTAAATTTGAATTTTTTTCTTTTCACAGGATCGTTAACATAACTCACTATATAGCATTACCTCCCAAAGTAACAATCATGTAGAAATTTGTATTTACAAAGATGAAAAATAAATTAACTATATATAGCTTTTTACGATCTAATTAGCTTGAAGCGTGCCTATAGAGATCTTGAAAGAAAATATCTTACAAAGTTAGAGTTGTAAATAAAATTTATTTAAGTTGGAGTAAGAAGAACTAGAAAGTAACTGCAGATTTAATTGTCTTTCACTTTCATTTGAATTTTCTCAACCAACTCTGAAAAAAGACAACATAAAACATAAAACTATGTTATTAACGATGGGTGACAATGTTGCAAAAGATGGTTGAAACTTTTTCCTATCACTATTTAATAATAAATAAAATAAATATTTAAATTACATATAAGAAGAGTATCTTTTGGGCCCTCTAATTTTGTAAGGCCTAAAGTGGGGGAGAAATTCAAAAATAGTCGGTAAGGATAAATCTGAACGAAAACACTGTTCAAAATTCGGAAAATATTCCAGCATAATATAAGTTCCAGTATAATATACTAGAACTCCAGTATAGTATATTATACTGGAACTCCAGCATATTATACTGGAGTTCCAGTATAATATATCGGTGCATCATAATATGCTGGAAGTTCATACACAGATGCTCTAATCTCCAGTATTATTATGCTGGAACTTTCCGCGTGTTGGAGTTCCAACATAATATGCTGGAAGTTCATACACAGCTGCATCAATCTCCAGTATATTATGCTGGATCGGTCCGTGTTGCAGCAAAATAATGGCTATTTTTCAATGACTTTACAAACGCTGGCTATTTTTGAATTACCAGTCCGAAACTGGTTAGCCCGTGCTATTTTTACCTAAAGCAGCCGTTTTAGTGGCCTAGGGGTTAAGCCGCCTCTGTTT